CGCGGGAGGCGGAAGTGGACGGACGATGCCCCGCCGCCATGGCCTCTTCCACCGCGCCGATCGTGCAACCAAACCCAGCCGCTCATCTCGGGCCGTATTTCCGCCACGCAACCGAAGCCTTGGCGACGTCCCGCCCCTGCCCCGATTCCCTTCCGTGATTGGGAGATTCCCCGCTCGGTCTCGGATTTGCGTCAGGGAATCCAAACCAGCAAGTTCGATTGCCCCACCTTCGAAGAGGAAGTTGCTGAGCTGACGCGGCCGGGGAGGGAAGAACGAGCCAGCCAATCACATGCGTCACGTGACGCTCTTCTGGCAGGACGGAGCCTCACGTGGTTTTCTGGCAGGGAGGGGCGGAAGAGCTGGAAAGTTGCGAAATCTGCCCTAATCGCCAACTACAGTACTGCAACTGGGGTCCGAAGCGATGGTCCTTGAGGGTCGCCTGTCCCACGCAGATCTGTGCAGACTCCTCCAGGCAGTGCTCAACTGCTAATTTGAAGAGCGGCTCCTGGCAACAATGCAAGATGGTTTGCCCTTCCTCCCTTCTGGACTTGTTCCTGGCTACAGTTGCCCTGGCATGTCCTCTGGCCTTCCACCGGAGCACGAACTACTTCGCTTTTTCAAGATCAGCTAAAATAAGCAAATCAGCAACTGAGGGCAAATAATCTTGAGTCTAGTGCTTCCAAATTATTGCTCGAGCTTTAATAATTTGATCATTTGATTATAACACATAAGTGCAATCTATCAGTATTTGCAACAGGTCTGTTGGATTACCTTTCAAGCTTTTAACGATTAAAAGATGGAATCTTATCAATAATTGGTTCAATTTGAAAACCTGAAGCTTTTTGAAACGTTGAAGTTGTGAGAAATATGCTCATTTTGAGCAGTCTTGGAAAACGTTTAGAGCCAAGTAAATTCCTGCCACAGATCTTCAAGGAAAAATGCTAGTACAGTATTTGTACAGAGTTAAGAGTGCCTTCAGGAAGTTTCATAACTTGCATATTTGAATCACCCTCTAGGCCACACTGAGAAATATGAAAATAGAGGAGGAATCTGTTTTGCCAACAATTTTAGCAAATACGTAATAGTTATCTGACGATTGGACAATACTGGATACCAACAATTTCTCATTTACTGGGATTTCAAATTAGGAGCCTCATTCAGCTTTCCTTTCAGACACGCTTCTGAATGCCCTGTGGTCTCTCACTATGGCTAGATCAGAATGGAGATTGCAGCATGCTGTCAAATATGCCCCTCCATCCACAAGCATAAGAGATACAGAATTCAGATAATTAGGTACACATTTAGCTACTTGTGCCTCAAACTAAGGCTCATGTCTCAAACTAAAGGCCACAAGACTCTCCAAATAGCTTAGGGCTGGGCAAAAAGCATAGCTATACAGCATGCAAAACTTTTCCATGTTCATTTTGGGGAAGAGCAGTTATCTAGCCCAACTGCAGATCTTATTTCCCTTATTCTACAGAAGCTCCCCCATCTTCAGGTAGCATAGTCTTTTTGTAAGTCTGACCAAGCAAACAGCCTTGACATTCTGAATGCAGGTGCAAAGAGTCTGCCCAATTCAGCAAGTTCTTGCAAACCATGCTGGAGATCTACTTGCTTTTGATTTCATGTGCAGCTGACAGGAAGTTGTCCCACACCAAAGTCTCCTTTCTTTGTCAGAGCCAAACTTTTCACATCATTTGATGAGAGGACAGCTGAGCATAACAGCAGTGATATGATAATCACTGAACATGTATTTAGCTTGGAGAGTGAGGCAAATCTTTGTGTGAGTTTTGGAATGCATATCTGCATGCTGCAATACGAATCAGGATGTATTGCTGCCAGCTACCTGCATGTAGAAAACAGGACAAGGGGCAGATAGTTAAAGTCTCTCCACTTCTCTACTTGCTAATTTTTGCCAAATAATTTAACAGGCTGTCATTTTATTTTGCTGGAAGTCTGTTGACTGCATCCAGAACACTGCCAGTGCTAAAAGCGCCTTAAGATCCAGGGTTTGCTCAGAATTCAAATGCAGCTCCTATTATTGGGTGCACTATTTAGAAAAATATTAAAACAAAGACTCCCACAAAGATTTACCTCAGCCACCAAGTTAGATAATAATATAAAAATCATTGCTATTCCTGTAGCAGCCAAAGTGACTGTACATGAGCAAAGGTTTCAGACCTTTGACTGGGCCATTGCAACACCTTTTCTTTTTCAGCCGTTCTGTTGTAGATTTGCTGGTGTGCTTGGGATCATTGTCTTGTTGCATGACCCAATGTCGGCCAAGTTTTAGCTGTCGGACAGATGGCCTCACATTTGACTCTAGAATACTTTGGTATACAGAGGAGTTCACGGTCAACTCAATGACTGC